CAATGACTTTCAAACTTTCACACAAAATAAAGTTAAAAAAAATGACTCTCAATAAACAAATTGATATGTATATAGCTTTAATTTGTTTTGTCTTATGGTTTAAATTTAACAAGGGAAAATTGATGGGTATATTATCTGGTAGCTAATCAAGGAGAAAAGCATAACTACATCATGATTTTGATTTTGAATGCTTACAGGCCAAACTTAAAGGTCCATGCTTAAAGATCATACTACCCCAACAGAAAAGAGACAAAAAGCCAACAAACACAATCTCTCAAAAATACAGACAGTCCCATATCCACTGCACACTAAAACCCTCCCAAAGACATCTCTCAAGAAATCAATCAAGAGCCCCTGAAATTACTTTAACCCTGAGGAAATTAAACTGAAGTCCAGCCACACACACACATACACACCCGCCCAACACCCACAGCCAGCCCAGCGGTTACCACTGAGCCACCGCAGGAAGTGCCCCAGGCTCTCCAGAGCTGGGTTGGTGGGAGGCCAACTGCCTCAGCCCCACCCCGCACCCTCCCCCCACACTGACACATGCAACCAGGCCAGCGACAACCACCACAAGCAAGAAGGGTCCCGGGTTCCTCAGCTGGGACAGTGGAGGGTGAGGGTTTTTGCCACAAACTCCTGACATCTGCACCCAGCCCAGCAATGGTCAAGCCACAGCTGGATGCCACCCCCCATGAGCAGGGTGCACAGACCTCAATCTTGCCCCTTCTCCTTCCTCCTTCTTCCATCCCATTTCCTTCCCCTCTCCCCCTCCCTCCCAACTGCTCTGCAACAACATCCTAGAATGTAAAAATATTAATTAAATTACATTTTCTTTAAAAAAAAAAAGCCAAAGTCATTTTTATTTCACATACTATATAATTAGGGCAAACACATACCTATTTTGGTTCTATTTGTTGAAAGTATCCTTCACTCATTAGCCTCCAGGTACATAGACATCAAAGAGAAAACACACAGTGTATGTTACACTGGGAAAAATTATAAGGTGGAGACTAACATTGCTAAGTCAAGAAAACTTTCTATTTGCAGTAAAATTTAGAGAGCCCAGAAGGCCCAAGTTCTGCAATGTGACTTTCTCAAACCAGTTAGAATCTAGTCAGTTTTGAAAAGGACAAAGGACAAACTGAACCATACTGGCTCCACTTTAGTTTAACAATTGTTCCCAGATTCAGTGAGGATATTGATGCTTTGGTGTCCAAGTTTATATCTCCTTAAATCTCAAAGTTGCTCTGTTCCTTCATACTTCTATCAGCTGTCTAAACAACTGCAATATATGAAAATTGGGATAAAAACAATGCGTATACAGGAGAAAGAGTATAAAATAGGGAAAAGTTTTAGTTAAACAGCAATTACTAAGGTCCAGACATCCACCCATGCCTTGACACAAACTGCATCTACATAGTGATAATCCACTTATCACTACCTCTGACCCCACCTGGCACTTATCAACATCCAAAGCTTTCCTGGGACAACAGAGAGGTTAACTTAAAGAACTTGAGTGAGAGACAAAGAAAAGCTCTAAGGAGTGTTGCTTAAAGAATACTTTAGGGGCCGGCCCGGTGGCGCACTGGATAAGTGCGCCGCTTGGGAAGCGTGGCGGCGCTCCTGCCCGAGGGTTCAGATCCCACATACAGACCGGTTCCCGCTCACTGGCTGAGCAAGGCGCGGGAGCAGCACCGAGGGTTGCA